GCATAAAAATACATAATGTTGGCCGCAGTTGCCAAACAAATTATCGTTAGCCAAGTTAAAAGCCAAATTTTGGCGGCCTGCTGCTAGCAACAGCAAATGAAATTGTCGCACTGCAGCCTGAAGAAGAGCGTGGAATAGAAGAAGAAAACAACACTAAAACGGGCCGCAGCCTGAAATGTTGGTCCAAACAATTTACAACAATCCCAAAATGGCGGGCAGAGAGCGGGAGAGGATGCGAGGCGAGTGGACACGTGCTGCTCCATTTATATATGTATATACTTATATATATACTTGTGCTAAAGCTCATCAAGCAGCTGAACTCCCTGGTCGGGTACTTATGTACTCCCATTATCTGACACACCTATTTAAACATTTAAAGCGCCGAGTGTGACCCCCATTAGTCGGCACCCAACCAAGAGGCACTCGCCCCAGAATGCGCATAAATATTTCACTTATTTCGCTTTTACTGTATTGTGTGTTTGTGTGTGGTTTCTTGTTGTTTGTGTTTTGGGTCGTCTTGAGCATGTGGACATCAATTTATTTAGTGCGACTCCGGAGGCAACCGAAAATTTGCACACTCCGGATATAACTGGCAAATAACCGACCAACCGTGCTGTGCGCCATCGATGGATGAAATTGTCTCGGTTGGCGCTTAAAACTGTCGCCCGAAAGGTGCTGCGGTGTTTCTGTTTAAAGCATCGTCATTAGGACCAAGTCTACTGTGCTGTCATCATTTGAGGGGGCGGAACCTCTTTTGTCTTGGACTGAAAAAGACTTTTTAGAACCGTCCTCCAGTCGTTTGGCGCAGTTGACTGTTTGGCTCTTTGGCACTTGCAAGTGGTTATGTCTGTAGGCCAGCCGGTTAGTCGTCTGTCCGGATTATGTGTTTCCTTGATTGAACGCAGTTTAGGACCGGCTTTATTTATTGGCCCGCAGCCTCAACCTGTCTGCATAAAGTACGTTAACTGTTTTCTGCCAGTTACTTAAAGGTACAAGACTAGTTGCCATCCGTTGAGAGTTTACTGTAAGCCACTCCAAATTGCCAAAGCGGTTCTGCTTGGCCAGCGCGCCTTGTTAGGCTCTTTGATTCTCTTCAGTAAAGGTTTTAAAATGCATGCTTAAGCCATCTTCAACATAATATCCTTGACCCATCCTTGAATGCTATCAGTGGTCTCGCACTCAACGAGTATTACTTATAAGCCACATATGCGCTTAATACTCTAATTGGCTTAAACAATGCCCTAATTTTCTGCTTAGATGCGAGTAGAAACTCGCAGCCACAAGAACAACAGGAATAATAAACAATGCGCTATTGTTTTGTCTTCACACAAATAAACAGAAGTCCCACCCATGCATACACACACACATACACACACACTTGCACTTAATTATGAGAAAATATTTTTAGACTCATTTTGGTTAAAGATGCTTAAGCACGTTATAATTTTACCCTCGCCCAGCACTCTCGCCCACTGTGGCAGGGACTGCTATTGTTATGTTATTATTGTTGTTGTTATTGTTGTTGTTACTGTTGTTGTTATTGTTGTTTTTATTGTTGCTGCTGTTGCTGCGTCTGACGCGGCCGCTGCAGAGTCCAATTTGACGCTGATTTACCTAACAAGCGCGGCGCAAGAAACAAAAGACAAAAGGCGGAGAAGGGCGGCAGGGAATTCACTTTTTGTTTTCATTTAAAGTGATTTTAAAAATTCAAAGGGCAATTGTCGTGGCACACACCCATACACACACGCTCGCGCGCACACACGCACACACGCACACATATGCAAAGAAGCTGTCCTTATGGGCTGCAAAGAAAAATGGCCCTTGGCTCGTCTTTGCCTCGCGAGGGCTTGCATGGCTCTCATTGTTTACGTCACTTTTGTTATAATGCACACTTGTTGTTATTGTTATTGTTGTTGTTGTTGTTGTTGTTGTTGTTGTTGCCGCTGCTGTTGCTGTCACCGCTCTTGCATTAAAACACATGCAACACGCAGCCAATGGACTCCTGACAGCTTCACCCTTTTCAGAAAGTCTCCAGTAGCAGCTCCTGCCGTTCGGTTTTGCACATTTTCAAACACTTGTATGTGAGTGTCTGTGTATGCGTGTGTGTGCTCTGATTCTTACGCTAACCAGAACAATGATAATGTCGCATGCTAAATTGCATGCAATTATGTAATTTTCCTTTTTTTATGCTAACGCTTTTTCTCCACTACATGACGACCAATGCTTTCTGCAATTTGCTACCTTAACGCTCATTACCGCCGCCACCATCGTTGCCCCAATGCTAAAAGCACACTGACAACAACAATAACAACAAAAACAATAACAGAACGTGAGGGCTGTCATTGCGGTGTTCGTTTTGTGTTCTGTTCACTTTACAAGCCCACGCTCTGGTCCTGCTTCTCAGTAATTATGACCTCAAAATGCAGATAATTATTGGTGCTCACTTTTTGACTCGCAGGTGGGCGTGTGCGTGTGTGTATGAGTGTGGTTGCCATGTTACTATTTTTGCAACAGCTCGCTCAGCTCTGATTAGCATAAACACAATCACCCACAGATGCGTTCTGTAAACTGCATTTGGCCAAAAATTGAATGCCTTTCATTCGCCTCTGTATTCTTCGAATTTCACATTCGCTGTCATTAAACTAAACAGGAATTTGCATGCTTTGTTCCCGATGCTTATTAGTTAACCATAACAAAAGGCTGTTTCTAAAAAGTACGTCAATAGATCAATTAATTAGCATTCGGTATTTCTGTCAATCAAGCTTCGACAGAAAATGAACTGCATTAGCTCCACGCTTTGAATAACCGAGCTTTCAAAGCAGGGCATGTTGGTTCTTATGGTTTCAACTACTCCAGTTAAGGGTTCGAGTTTTCGGGTTATGTAAAATAAAATTCTGGATTAGCATCAACAGCCGAGTCGATCTAGCAATGTCAGGCCCTCCGTCCTTCCGTCCATCTGATGAAGAGGCCTTTAGCTAAATGCTTGAAATTTTGAACATAGGTGCTCCAAGTGCCAGCGCAGTACGAATGTATTTCAAATTATCGATAAATCGCCAAGCTTGTTAGTAAGCGATAAGAATCGATATTGAGGTCCTGTTTAATGAGCATAGAAGAGGTATAGACTAAGTAGGACTTGGCTTTAAATATTGCTTAAACCTAATTACAAAAGAAAATCACTATAGCTTTTCCTAACGTGAGGAGCTAAGGGAAAAAGAAGCACAGTCGCAGTGTGTTTGTATCTGTAAATGAGAAGGAAGCTCGAATGCTTGTAAAGCCACCTCGACGCGGGATTCAAGGTATCTTCTATTCGGGCACTCCCGACTAGAGAACTTTATATTATTTTTATTAAATTATTGATATATCATTTTATATTGTTAACTTTACTTGGACTAGCATGTATTTTTGTAGTAGATTAATGTTTAATTATTTGAACTAAACAAAAAAGCATAAAAGCAAAAGAATACAATGACCTGCATGTAATTAAAGAAAAATATGCACTTAATAGAACGTTTAATGTATATATACTATATTTTTCACGGAATATTACTCATCGGAGGATTGCTGCCATATATCTGTCATAGGAGCAATCGAAATCGAAACATGTATTTTTTGTAAAAGATCTTATTGGAACTTCAAGTTTTCCTAAGTACAACATGTATGAAAGTCTTTAATCATAGGAGCACATTAAATTTGAAAATTCTACACCAATGGAATTAAATATTTAATTGCGTATTACGTTAATGTATGCTTTCGCACACAGAAGCCATTAAAAGTTTAAATAAATAAATAACTAAATAAGTAATTGTCAGGTGCAGATCGTATTATTTTCTGACAACCTTAAATGCACATCAATTCATTTAAAATAAACCTTTTGCTTGGATTAAAACTATTTATTACATTTTACAAGGAATCACAAAATATTTTTACTAAGAATCTCTTTGAAATGCTAAAGTGCAATTTGACTGTGGATGTGCAGTATAACAGTTTGTAATACTAGGACACAAAAATACTGGGAAATTCTTGTGTCTGGCCAGAGAACAATTTTCGATGATGTCTCAAAAGGCAAATGCCACAAAAAATGAAGAATACTACGAATCAAAATGAATATTACGCATCTAATAAATATATTAAATATTGTATGTAATTATTGTAAATTATTGGATATAATTTAAAATATTAAAATACAACCATATAGATTATACTATTTATCAGAAAGTATTTTAAGATTTCAAATTTATATCAACGTTTAAGTGGTTTTTGCGCTCAACTGGGCAGCGATTCGGCGCAGTGGGTCGAATCGATTTTGGACAGTGGAATTTGAGTGGCAAAAAGGACGAAGTAGCACAGACGAGCGATACACACACACACACACACACAAACAGATAGAAACGGAATATTGTATAAGGCTTCGGAGCGCAACGGCAGCCACGAACGAGAACGGGAACGACGACGACGACGACGACAACGACGACGACAGCAATAGGAGCTGACGATGAGGAGAGAAGAGCAGCGCAGCTCGCGGCGGCGGCACTGGTGAGAATGAGAGCGAGCAATTCGTGAATATTTTATGAACGAGCGCGTTACACGGGGGCTCGCTCGCTTAGGCGATGCAAATAGCGGGACTCTGGCAATTGGCAGCGTCGGTTCCTCATCCTCGTCCTCGTCTCCGTCTCCGTTCTCGTCCATATATATTCCGCCGTAGCTCGTAGCTCCTCGTCAGAGAGAAATGTAGGGAAACGCATCCCGTCGTCCTCGCTGCTGTCGTCTTCATCGTCGTCGTGCTCATCGGTGCCGTCGTTGCATCCACTGCCTACGCGGATCGTTCGCTGGCAGCGGTAGCAGCGGTTGTCCGCCTGGCATATCCTGGCCAGGATAGCGGCGCCGCCGCCGTCGTCGTCGTCGTCGTCGAAGTCATCGTCGTCGTCGTCGTCGCAGCAGCGGCAGCGCTTTTCAATTTGGCCAATGCGTGTGCTGCTGGCGTTCAGTAAGAAAAGCGTCGCCCAACGGTCTAGAACGAACCCGTACCGTACGCTTTGAGTTGATTCTGTTCTTTGGAGTAGCCAGCGACGATATAGTCGTAAAGTCGAACAGTCGTATAGATATATAAAGAGTGTGTGTGCGTTGCGCTCGTCTCTTGATTCGTGCGTTACTCGAAACAGATCAGAGCAGCATTTAAAAGTAATGATAACTGATATTATTATATGATAGGACATTTGTCTTAGCCGGAAGTCTGTCTGTGAATTATTTAAGCTATGTTTATTTAAAAGCACCTACTGAATACTGAGCGAAGTATTATATATTTAATTGTTTATTTTCAAAGCGATCTGTGGTTCTGGGAACTTCAATGTATTCAGTGCACTTCCTTCGACTCTTTTAGAGTTTAGAGTCTAGAGATTCCCAGTTTTAAGACAGACTGTAAACAATTTCAGGCATTTTTAAGCTACTAACTTGGGCGACATTCATTAAAGTTGAAGCGATGTTTGTTGATGTTATTTGCCGCTGCTTCGTTCTATTTTTGTTTGCAGTCACTGACATTCAGTGACTTCTAAAGTTCACTGCAAACTCATCAGAGCCAGCAGCCAGCAAAATAATTTGCAAACTGTGCGCAGTTGTTGTTGTTGCTCTTGCTACTGGTAGAAACTTTACAAGCGACATTGAGCTAAGACTTGTCGGCTGTATAATGATTTTTTTTTGTTGTTATTGTTTGCTATGCGAAACATTGAAATTGAAGTAGTCCTCGTCTCTTTGGCTGTCTGGCACACATATGACAGCAATATTTATAATTTCCGCTGCTGCAGACAAAGCAACAAAAATAACAACAACAACAATAGCAAAACGATAAGCAACGAGCAAAATAATTTGCGATTACTGCCAGGCAGGCAGTCAAATATATAAGCCCATATCCCATATCCACAGTCGAATGTAACGTAACGAAAGACAAGAAGACGGCGGCAAGGACAGCCGAAAAAAAAAAAAACAAAAAATATTACAAGCCAAGTGCGCTCGTGTTCGTGAATTTCCGGTTGAACAAACACATAAGCAAGAAGTAAAAGAAAAGCGAGCAAAAATTATAAAAATAATAAAAACAACACCCACAGCATCGAGTACATAAGCGAGGGGTCTTCCAGGGGCAAAGACGAAGCCACAGTACGAAAAGTGAAAATATACGGAGAAAAGTTGCACAGAGCGGCAAGCATATTTCATAAGTTTACACACTTACTGACACACAACCACACACACAAACACACACACACACATCCATACAGAGACTCATACATACATATAGAGCCATATAACATAGCCGGGAGCCAGTTAGAGCGAGTCCAAGTCATATATGTGAGACGAAGGCGACGGCGACAAAGGCTAACGCACGACCTTTGGCACAGAGTTCAGCAACTGCAGCAAAGGACACGAACACGGACACAGGACACAGGACACAGCGAGGAGGTCAACAAATCAATAGAAACAAAGCGCACAGCGAGAAAACAATTGGCCACAAGCATTGCCACAAAAACAGCAGCTAGCAAACCACCAAAATTCACTCGCAAATTATGCTGGCCATGTCGACCCTAATGATGCCCGCCCCGACTATAGCCATGGGGGCACCGCAGATCACGATGGGCCCCCACAAGCCGCCAGAAACGAAACTGCTTGCCATCCATCCCGCTGCAGCAGCAGCCGCTGCCGCTCAGCAACAGCAATCCGTGACAGCTGCCCATCTGCAGCACAATGGCCAGCAGCAACATGCCCAGCAACAGCAACAGCAGCAGCTGCAGCAGCAACAGTCAAATGCACAGCAGCAACATCAACAGCAGATCGTTGGCAGCAACTCAAAGCCAGGTAAGTTGTTTGTGAAATAAATTTAAATAAACTATATGCCATGATTGCTACAAATTTATTTAGATAAGTATATTGTGAAAATTAACAGTTTTAAATCGCAACTCAATAGGACTCAGCTTAATTAACATTGTTTATTTAGACAAGTACATTGTGTTTTCATAACGTATCTGAAAACTAACAACTTTTAATCGCAACTCAATAGAACACAGTTTAATTCACGTTGTTACGACTCAAATAGCTTTACAGAACTCCGTATGTCAAATATGAAATTACGTACGCATAATTAAATTTGCGATTGGAATTATTTCGAGATTGCAAAAAAAAAACACCGAATCTCAACCCGTCGTGTCCATGACACTATAATATACTTCTCGCAAAAGTAACGTCTGTTGCAAGTTTAATGGAAAGGGGGAAGTTGGAAAACTTAATATAAACAGACAGATGGGCTCCACTTGCTCAAATCAAAAGTGTCTGCTTCAATTTGTTACATGTTCTGTGACAAAATTAGAATACCCGTCAAGCGAGGCCGTAATAAAAAGTAATTTATAGGAAATATTTATGCAACCAGGACAACCTCCTAGCAATGATTTGAAAGTTGAGGCAACCAAGCAACACATTCAATTACACTTTATGCCAGGGCCACAGGCATAGACGCAGTCGGAACAGGCTGAGACTGAGCTGAGAGAGAGAAAATTCCAATAAGTCATAATTTTAACAGACACTTTCAGTTCTTATTGTGTTGTATTTTTGTGGAAATGTAATCCGAATGCGCAAATTTGTATATCGTATATTCGTATATATGGCATGCCATGGAAATAACAAAAATTGCACACGCATTTCTCAAATGAATTATTGTGGACAGGCCACAGTCCGGAATATGGAATACGAAATACGGAATACCGAATACGGCATGGCAGACGGACCTAAATGTCAAACGTTGGCATTACAAGCATAAATATCAGTTACAATTTTCATATTCCCAACCACAAATTTACAATTTAATACTCGCAGTGAGCAGGCTCAAGCCTCGAGCCTAGAGATGAATTATTTTTGGTGTCGAGTGTTGGGCAGGGGAAATTGCACAAAACGAGGAGATTTACAACTTAAAAACAACTTAAACCAAAACTTGGTAACAAAGCGCTGGAGAAGAGAGACAGAGTGAGACAGAGTAAGAGAGAGAGAAGGTGAGGGTGGCTTCAATTGCTTTGGCCAATTCCTGTTCCCTCGCCACGTCCTGACTGAGGTTGCTAATGGCAGAAACTATACGAGTACACAACTAGACACAGCTCAGGCACAAGACCGGAAACAACGGCTCAGGAAGCTGCATGAAAATGAAACGTTGGCAACGCCTGGCATGAGGAATGGCGTGTGGGGGCCTGCAGGGGTGTGCTGTCGACTTAAGACTGTAATGAAAATGAAAAATGGAAAATGTATAGTTAAAATAGTGAAAAGCCTGTTTGTATTAGTAAAGTTGTCTCGCTCAGCCAAAAGCGAGGCGAAAGCAACTTGAAAATGAATTTAATTATGGCAAAAAAGAGAAAATTTCCACACTTGAGTCTGTGAAGTTTGCCTTTGCGAAGGCGTTGTTGATGAGCTTGAAAAGTGTGAGAAAATTGTTAGACAACACAAGGCATAAATAAGAAATGCAAATACAAAGGGCTAAACAGGAAAGTGAAGTGTTTACGCCTGGTCGGTTATCATAGAACTTGGCGGGACTGTAAAGCAGGAAGGTATGTCTAATTGTGGAGGACAAATCTATTTTTGCCACAGAGAACGCACATCGTCCTGAGCGGACGACAATTGACTTTGCAATGAGCCACACTTCAACGCTAATTAGCAGCACTGCAAAAACTCGACTGGCATTGATTAGCACTGCACAAGCGTCGGGTCCGAATGATTGCAAATTGAAAATTAAGCGTGCTGCACATTTCCAATTCAAATATGCTTGCCACCACCCAAAGCACAGGTCACAGCAGCCAAGCCGAGCCAAGCAGCTGCGAAACTGAAACTGTGGCCAACCCGCGCAAACAGACACGACCATTTAAATTTATACAAACACATCTACATGCATACAGTATGTACATATATGCACCGCAGTACACGGTGCATGAACTTTCGAGCGGCACTTGCAAACATACATACACACACACATACACCCACACACCAACACCAACACTGTCAGACAGCAGTTACACCTATGCGACACAGCAAAAACAAACTGCAAGATTTGAAGTGTTGCTGCTGCAAGCAGTGGCAGGTGGCAGGTAGCAGGTGGCAGATGGCAGCAGGAGCCAAGCCAAGCCAACAAGTGCCACCGTTGCTAAGTAAAGAAAGAGACACTAACCGACAAAAACAACAACAATTCCAAAAACTAGAAGGTACAGTAAAATACCTTATAATCCACAAAATATTCATACGACTTGAAAATTTGTTTTCTCCTGAGTTTTGTTGAATTACAAATTTCAATTGCAATTTTAAGACTAAGTAAAATAAGTAAAAATAAAATATAGAGACAAAGTATATTTCTGTTGTCGTTCTTTAATTCAAAATCCCTTGCAATTTATTTTAACAATTTTTTTATTGAATTTCTCTATCTTACATTGAGATAGTAAACTTTTTTATTGAACAAAAAAATATTTGTTAAAACTTTAATTGCCGTTCCATAATCCAATCTTTCTTCTATTATCAGATAGTATTTTTTAATTTTAAATTTTTATTATATAATCTTGGTTTACGTTTTATAATTTCCAACATCATAAATAATAATATGACAATATTAGATTACTTTTTAAATTTTCACTTTTCAATCACAGTGTTTTGCATTAAACATTAAAAACAGTTTTTTATTGATCAGGAAGAACAGAAAACATTCGAATACGAGGAATTTCTAGTATTACCAATTAATAAAAATGTTTTCTTGACAAAAAATATGTATTTTATAGAAGAAAGGTTGATTTGGATTATTTTGTAGAAGTCAGACCTTCTTAGTCGTTGTTTACTGTAATCCGCAACAGCCTCGCATGCTGCGCGCTGCACTTGGTTGTGTTTCTTAGACAGCATGCGAAGCGGCGTGAACAACTGAAGGGAAGGCTGGTGCTTTACTTTCGCTTTGCCGCTGGAGGCGGCGACAGCAAAACTTTTAAATTGGTTGGCAACACTTGTCTCACACACACACAGCAACACGCGAACACACGTACATACTTACATTCACAAACAGAATGACAGTCTTAACACACAGATGCATGTTTGATTTGGAAATGAATTTGGAAAATTTTGTGCTCTCCACTGCGCGAAAAGCGGGCAAGAAAAACAGGAGCAGCAAAAAGAAAACAGACAAAGTCAATTGGGGTAGGGGAAACAGCGAGCAGCACCTAAACGTAATTTGCCAGCAAATCATTGGAAAAGCGTTGAGAACAGCAAGGGGCAAAGCGAAATGGCAACAGCAGCCAAAAAGTATGCAATGGTAAATGTGATACATAACTACAGACACACATATGCGTGTGGCTTGATGCGCTTGCCTGAGTATGCGTGTGTGTGTGACAGCTTGTATGTGTGAGTGAGTGGGTGTAAAAACCACTAAAGTGAAATGCATTTATCGACCGCAAAGCGTTCGAAATGAAATCTGTTTAAGGGATTTTAATACCCTGGCGAACGTGCTGCCTGTGTGTGACTGTCGAAATGGCGAGGGTGTGTGTGTGTGTGTGTGTGTGTGAGCTTGCCAGTGTGTGTGTGAAACTATGTATGTGTAAGAAGAGGACTGCCAGGCGAATACAAAAAGTCAATGAATTCGTTTGGCGAATTGAAAAATTAATTCAGTCGCCGTAGCTGGCATCGATAAGTAGAAGAAAAGGAAAACTTTACACGCTGCCGTTCAGTTCGTGTGTCTTTATCTTCTGTGTGTGTATGTGTGTGTATTTAAGTGAGCGTGCGTTTGTGTGTAAAAGCTTTTTACTTACTAATGATTTCTCATTTCGCTTACGGTATTTCTCTGTTATTTGCGCTTTTTGTCTTACTCTGCGTTTTACAGCCAGCAGCGAGCCAACAACTTCCCACTCTGCCCGCTTTGTAAGCCATGGAACTGAGGCCAAATTACTCACTGCCGTTGTTGTGGATTTTCCTCATTTCGCTCGCTTTTCTCGACAACAACAGCAACAACACGAACATTGGCGGCAGTGGCAACACAAATAGCAAACGAAGAGAAGGAAATTAAGCAAAAAGCGCAAAGATTTATTTCGCTTTGATCAAAATTAAATGAATTGATTTTAATACGCCCCGTGGGCAAGATATTTCCTACGTTGGCCAAATGAAAACGCATAAAAAAGGTGCTGGTGGGCTAGAGACGATATACTACTGCCATGGGCGTGGCAACAACCTTGGCTTGCCTTACACTCGCATCGAGCTGCACTGACTTTGATATCCTGTCAGTGTGTGTGTGTCTGTGCGGGTATTTAAAGCGGATGTTTTAGACCAGCTCTGCTTAAAGAAACACAATCAATTCTGGTTGAGTTAAGCACTTGATGCAGAGTAAAGAATAGAGCTGATTGAGTTGCGATAAATGTTAACTAAAAGTTGCTGCTCAAAAGTAAATTGGTATTGCCTGATAGTGAAAGCTTAAGTAAGCTAGTAGAACATATTAACATATAATATAAGGGGTTATTCATACCTTTAATCTCTCAGAGAAAGAAATGCAAGTTCTGATTTTGAACGCTGTCAATAGCAGGGAAGACATAGCATTTTATCGATAATCGAAAGTAAGAGCATTTACATATATGAAAATAAATGTAAATATTGGTATCTTACTCGAATTATCAGGGATCGTAACTATTCCAGCTTCATTAGTTATTTTTTGATTTTTTACAGGAAATAGTTCTTACTTTTTAACTAATTTAATAGTTTCTTCACATAATTTTTTTATTTATTATTAACATTTTTTCTAAAATTTTGACTTTTTATTGAGAAAATTTTTGATTTGGCTAAATCATATTATATTATATATATTT